TGAACGGAGTTATGGCTTTAGGAAGTAAAAAAACTCGCACTCATCACAAATTTTCCTCGTTAATTTTGCAAAAATCCTCAACGTGGCCATTTTTTGAATACTGGACGTATAGAAGCTGCTTTAGCAACCGTTTGATAGAGAAAATCTTCTAGTTTTGTATATTAACTTTTTGAATTTGACGAAAATGAAGCAAGTTATTGCTTCGGAAAGTGTAAAAACTCGTGCTCATCTCGAATTTTCCTCGTTAATTGATCTAAATTTGTTATTTCTTATAACTTTTTGTAATTTCAGTACTGATTAGAAAAAGCTCTTCACAAAACTCCCAAATCTGCTTTCAGATTGAAAATTCGTCATATTTGAAGAAAGTTATAATCATTTGAATATTTGTTCAAATTTCAATAGTAAATAAGCTGCTCCACGGTCAACGCCAAAGTCCAGTCAACACACAGCTGGCGAAGGCGGTTAAAAAGCTTCTTTCAACTGAAGGGCTACGTGCAAATTGAGAACCACAATCTGTGTAGTACTAGAATTTGGTAAGTCTTGTGGAGGAAATAAATAAAGAACAGATGTTGGGTATGCCATTTTTAGTGGCTAGTTTGTCGTTTTCTGGTCTGTTTCTCGTTTGCTCGTTTGGTAGGACTCATCAATAATGATTATTCTTTGACTTTTTCACTTTTGTACTTCTTAAACGATTTTTTTTGTGGGCGGTGGGGTAGCAGGGCTTTTTTATGAGCAGTTTTGGGGGAGAATTAAAGCTTTTCAACCTTTTCATAGTTCGGCTTTTGAAGAGGGTTGTTTCATGGACTTCGGCCTTCGGCGGAGGGTGGTGGGGGGGGGGTCGTATTTCCAAATTTTCCTCGACGCCTCGCTTGACCCTGGTTGGGTATCGTTAGCATGAGATGAGAAGTGGTGCCTGTACGTCAATATCAAGCGCCGCCGACACTGGGTTGACAAGGATGAGCAACCTGAGCCGCAGCCAAAGGCAGGTCTTCACCCTTCGAAGGTTATGATCTGTGTTTGGTGGGACTGGAAAGGTATCATCCACTATGAGCTTCTCCCACGCAACGCTACCCTTACGGCAGACCTCTACTGTGAGCAACTGGATAGACTGGCCGCCAAAATCGCAGAAAAGCGTCCAAATAGTGGTACGATCCGATTCTTGCACGACAACGCTCGCCCACACACTGCAAGAGTGTCTCGCCAGAAGCTACTCGACTTTGGGTGGGAGGTGTTGCCTCACCCGCCGTACAGCCCGGACCTTGCTCCGACAGACTACCACCTTTTCCTGTCGCTGTCCAACGCCATGCAAGGAAAAACGTTTGATGACGAACATGATATAGATCGCTGGTTGAGCAACTTTTTTGAATCGAAGCCAGAAAAGTTCTTTGCCGAAGGCATCAAAAGTCTGCCCGAAAAATGGCGAAGAGTGATAGAACGTGATGGTGATTACTTTGTTTCCTAATATGTTTTCTTGTTGATAAAAAATTAAGGTAATGATATGTGTCAAAAACCGCGAGAACTTTCCCTACAACTAATAACCTATATAGCATACAGCCGCTTTGAAAACATACCCTCTCTGTTTAAAACGGGACTAATTCTCAATCGGAGAGGGGAAACTCCAGGAAGCGTGAGCAATTTTCATTTTTATCCTAATTTCCTGCTCCTTCCTAGCTCAGCCGCAGAGAATGCCTCCGTATATTGCGATAGCGCCTCTCTAAACAAATGACCGTGCGCGTTCCCATGGCAGCCGGGTCCTCCCATACCATGCACGATGAGCCTTCACCTAGGTCACTCATTGAAGCCATCCTCACTCCTTCTAGCCCGACATATGCATCGATTTTTCTTTTTTTACCACAATGTATGCGCATGAATTCAAATCGAACAAAAGTTGAAAAGGACCGGAGATGACCAACCCATTTCTTTGGGATGCGCGCCATGCGTTCTGTCACCACTCAGCACTGAAGGGCGATTGAGCGCCATTTGGCCCAGTAGTGCGCTTTGTGAAATCCAGCCGGTCTACAGATGGGTTTTTATATATGATTATAGAACTAATGAATCGTACTCTAAACGATGAAGTGCTTAGTTAGCGAACGCGGGATTCGAAATAGTGTGACGTAACCATGACGCGATCAATGGCGCCACTCACCACTATACCTCCTCCACCACTAACAGGAAAGCGTTAGAGGAACTGGAAACTAAGGAGCTTGACCTAATGTGTGATGTTGAAAACAAAAGCATTAATGCCCTGTCAACAAAAGGTTGGGATTCAATTCCGGCTAGGCAAAGTGTTTGCTTGCCCCATAACTTGGCATTTTCGAGTGTTTTCGCTTTGCCAGAGCTACGATGAAAAACATCGGCTAGCAAAACAATGTAAACATGAATTTCCTTCCCATCCCCTTGTGCCCTTCCACACACGGGAGAAGGCTATGTTCTACCCGCTGCCGCTACACTCGAGTCGGTCGCATCGATTCGTTTCTCGTTCACGGCCGTCCACTGTTTGATACGCGAAGTTCCCCGTTTCACTTCCTCTATTTAAGATTGCCATTGACTCATTGGGCTCATCTGGGAAGGTTGTGATGTCATCCAGTGTGGGCTTTTAGATTGGGACAATAATTGGAATCAAAATTACGTAACTAAATGTATCTTGTTGTGTTTACTAATTTTTATCGGTATTATTGCTTTTACAAAGCAGTAGATTATGACTTTAGCTCACTGAACCTATTTTGGATCTATTTGGTTTTGGGGGGGGGGGGCGGCATTTGGGCGCGTGGCGGCCAACGCATTCACAGCCACAACAAACACTTTTTTATTATCGAGCGTGTGAGGGAAATGATACTTATCCAACTTTCCTTTTTTGCTCGAATGAAAAGGTGTTCACCCATCCCAAAGCTCCATCTTCCCAATTAGGACTAGGCTAGGCGTTATGTATTCTTGCACCGAATGCCCTACTGCCCCCCCCCTCCCTCCCACCCTAAGACCATATCCTGAAACAAAACCTTACAGCCGGAACGTTATCTTAACAAAGCGTCATCCTTCTTCAATACTAAACAATGTACCACATACTTTTATTATTTCCCATACTTTGTACATTTACAACTTCGAGGCGTGAGCAGCCTTTCCTTTGATATTTCACGTTCAAAACTTATATTTGCTATAAACGGGGGCGGTGTACCCGCAAGTGATGTGAACCACCATGAACAAATTCGCATGGGACAACTTCCTGGATCACTTCTCACCCACGTCA